CAATCAATCAATCAATCAATCAATTCCAGATAGATGGATTTTCTCCATGATGATCTATCCCTAACAGGGTCTTTCAGGTCTTCTAATGGTGCACCCATTACTACTGAACTGAGTCCATCCATCTTGCTGCTGGTCCTCCTCTTTTGCTCTTTCCTTTCACTTTTCCAGCATTAGGGTCTTCTTCTGAGAGCTAGGCTTCCCATAATGCATCCAAAGTAGGATAATTTGAACCTGTCACTTGTGCCTCAAGTGAGAACTTTGGGTTGATTCGTTCAATAATCCATTGGTTTGTTTTCTTGGCTGTCCATGGTATTCTCAGGAGTCTTCTCCAACACCAAAGTTCAAAAGCATCAATTATCTTCCTATCCTGTGCATGCGCACGCGCTCTCTCTCTCTCTCTCTCAAGTTTCACTTTAAGGAATGGACACTGTATGTTTCTTTGCTACCTCACATTTGATTTTTTGAAAAAAAAAAACAGATAACTCTTAGAAAATAAACATTCAAACTACTAAGCAACACAATATTACAGTACTAATCTTTGCTGTTACTTCAGAAGGTATTGCCAGATGCTTACTGGAAATCTAATTCTGATTCTAATTTTTTTTTTTTGCTGCTGCATTTTGTAAATTGTTGCCTTCACATTGTTTGCTTTCCCTACTATTTCATTTCAGATTTCTGCAGCTTGTTTTCTATATGATAGCTAAGTTTAAAAAAAAACATATAGGATCCCAACACTGTTTCATGCTGCCAGCATGATTTTGGTAAGAAGAACCATGTTCATCAGTCTTCCTTTTGTGTTTGAGTCAATGTATCTGGTGTGTTCATTTTGTACCACTGCAGTGGTTCTCCAACTTTGCAGTATCACAACCCTCTAAAATGACAAACAAATTTGTACAATCACCCTTCTTGAATAAAACTAGTGACTTCACTATGCAGGAGATTAAATATGCTACTTTTAATAATTAAATGTTAATATGTGTATCACAAGGGTCCTTAGAGCCAGTTTGGTCTGGTGGTTAAGGCTCCAGACTAGAAACTGGGAGACCATGAGTTCTAGGCCCGCCTTAGGCACAAAGCCAGCTGGGTGACCTTGGGCCAGTCGCTCTCTCTCAGCACTAGGAAGCAGGCAATGGCAAGCCACTTCTGAAATCTTGCCAAGAAAATTGCAGGGACAGACGTTCTTTCTCTAAATATGTTGCTTTAATTTCGTAAGGGGAAAAAAATGATAATGAAAGTTCCTGTAAATGAAGTGTTTTTTTCTCATTGGAAATTGCTTATCTAGATGTAGGGCGTAAATACTCACTTGCACTTTTTGTACAGCAGATTGTTTGAATGTGGCCCTACCCATGAGAGCTAGATGTGTTTCTCCATGGGGCTTTCATCCTTTACATAGTAAGTTACATAACAAGTTGCACCTTTCAAAATACCATGACTCCTGGAGATCTGGTGGTTTGTGGGTGAAAATTTTCCCATTATGTTGGCAGGCCTGAAGAATTAGAACTGGACTAACTGAATCCAGGATTTTGAATAATTCCCATGCAGCTAAGACATGCACAACTCTAATATGCCAGGAGCTAGCACCACAGATGGCAGAAATGAATAATGGCATTAATAGGTCTGTAGGGGAAGGAATCAGAGCAGGGGAAAATGGATGCAATTATATTCAGTTAAATGCCACTCTTGAGGTGTTCACCTGAAAAACTATCTAATGGACTTTATACTCAGGAAAGCAAACACTGGCACAAATGAGTCTGACTTGTTTCATGGGCACATTATAGCAACTTTTGTAGTAGTGAGAATTCTGGATCTTATTATGGCTAAAGCAAGAATTTAATATGTTTCCTGATGCCTTTTTGGCTTTTCAGAGTATCTTGCC